TACTAACGAAACCTAACTAATAGTACTAGAAGAAAGGAAGTAATAACAAACGAACGTAACCTTACCTACTACGTAGTAAGTTAAGGTAACGTAACAACGAAACAAACTAATAGCTCTCTCTCTCTCTCTCTCTCTCTATATATATATATATATATATATATAGAGAGAGAGAGAGAGAGAGTAATGAGAAAAAACCGTTTTTTAGCTCCAAGTAACACTACTGATAAAACTGAAAAACAAGAAAAATGCTAGAGAAAAACTAATCAAAACATAACCTTTTTCTTGCTTCCAGCACAGCCAACAGTGTAGCAGCCTGCAAGTTTTGCATATTGACCCACCATGCTTCCTACTGATCCTGAAGCTGTAGAGACAAAAACTTTATCTCCTTTCTTGGGTTTGCATACATACTGAAACCCAGCATATGCAGTAAACCCACTGAGTCCTGCACCAAAAAGAATGTAAAATTGAGGCTCTCTCTCTCTCTCTCCAAAACTAGTTCACTTACTCCAAGTTATTTCAATTTCTCCATGAATCAATGGCACCCAATAGATAAATCTTCTCTAGTTACTCCCCTCAAAACCAATTTCAAATTCCTCCATTAATGTATAACTCCTTCTCTAAGTGGTCTTCTCAGAATCCATTTCAAAATTCTCCATTAAAACATGATTCTGAGCTTTCTTTCACTAGAAAGTTAACCCCCACAAAGCAAAAGACGAAATATAAATACATAGAACAACAGAAAAAGAAAAAGGAAGCTAATTCCAAAACAGAGAAAACCAGAATATCATGAAAGAGGAAAAACAGAGAGCTATGTTTTTTGCTTATCCTTTAGAGAGAGAGAAAAGAAAAAGCCCAAAAAAATTTAGAGAGAGAGGGAACTACGCAAAAAGAGTTAGAGAGAGAGAGAGAGAGAAAGGGATTGAGAAGATACCAAGAACTCCAACGTGATAAGATAAGGGGAATTCAGTGGATTCGATCTTTCTGAACACTCCACCACCACCATGAATGTTGGTGTACTCCTCCCAGCCAATAAGAGCAGCGACCAAGTCTCCTTTTTTGTAGCCTGCATTGTCCGATGCGACGACCTCGCCCACGCCATTGGCGTCGATGGCCTGTAAATGGATTCATATTCAATAGTGTTGGCAAAATCGAACCGTAATTGATAAACCGGTCGTCGGCGCGGAAGCGATTTAACCGATCTAATCGATAACTTGGCCGGTCTAATCGATAAACCGGTCCATTTAACCACTTTAACCAGGTATGCTCTAAATGATTAAAAAAAAGTTAAAAATATAAAAAGCATATAAAGAATGTCATTAAAACAAATCACACTCAAATAAAATTGAAAATTATTGAGAAAAATAGATTTTAAATAATCGATTTGTGTCTAAGAGTATTTTTAAATTTTTTTGATAATGATGAAAAAATATAAAAGTGAGTATTAATGACCACAATTTTTTTAATCTTTACTATAATATAAATAATATTTAAATAGTGTTAAAACATCGACTTGACCAACTCTTTTTTTAAAAAAAAATAAAAAAAATAAATTATATACAATATCGACCATTCTTTTTGTAAATACGTAGTAAATGACATATTGGTTAATAGATCTAATAGGCAACTAAATAGTAAATGGTGCGGTTAGTGGGTTTAATAATAAATTATTTAACTACATATTGGTTAATAGATCTAATAGACAACTAAATAGTATACGGTGCGGTTAGTGGGTTTAATAACAAATTATTTCTTTACAAGAACTTCGAAGTTTGATTCATGAGGGCAAGCAAATTTTTTGAACTCACCAATGTAATTTTTAGAATAATTGTTAAAATGAACCACATCAATATTTAAAAAATAAAACTGCTGATGGTGGCATTCAAAACCATGGTTCGTATTATGTATAGTCACCAGTGCTAACCAATATATCATTTTAAAACATTTAATATAAATGTGAAATGGTATTCTGTTTAAAATTTAAAAAATCGGTTGATCACCAAAACCACCAAAAATCGAAACCGATTCCGATCTAACCGGACGATTAGTGATTATATCGATCGATTTTACGAACATTGTATTCAATCCAGTTTTGCTGTATTCATATTTTTTTCTTTTTCCTCTCATAAGGGGGGAATGTGTACCGCTCCTTATACCGTGTGAACCTAAAAGCCCAAAGGTTGCTTTTATGCTGGAAAATCTCAACTCGCCCTTTAGATTTGTGGGCATAAAAGCAAAAGAAAAAAGATTTCTAGTCTTAAAAATAGTTCACTTTTTAACACATTATCGGATCGTATGTTTTTAAGTACTTTTAGATCTGCTTGATTGTCATTTTTTAAAAAAATTAAAATTTCATAATTAGTAAAAACAATAGATTTTCCTATAATGGTAAGGCTTCGAAGCAAGGAAAATATTTTCAACAAAATTTTGAGGTACACCTTACTTTAATAGTATAGAATTGACTCTGAATCAATGGGTGGATCATTCACCTATAAATTTCAATCGAATTATTGATCGGCGATTTAAAATAGGTTTAGATTGGGCTTAATAATGCACATTGACTTGCCAATTATGGGCTATCAATCGGTTGTGGTCGACCATGAACCTAACCGGTGGACCCAATGCAGGTTATAGGTCCAGGTCCAGAAGTATAGGTCTGAGAATAGGGCCGGGTCTAGGTCTAGGGCCCAATTGGGTCGGGTACTGCTGTTATATATAAACAATAACATTTTATTTCACGAATTACATAGAAATATTTCTAAAAAATATTATATTTTGGTATGTACGTAACTTGACCGGACAGATCCGGTCTCGGCCAACCCAGACCCAACCCGACCCATTTGGACCCCTAATTGCCATGGCTCCTCGTGCACACCTCTTATGGGTTGTGTATCATACACATTCTGTGAGCTATATTTATGTACAAATTTGTTGTGAAATTCATAACTCACTTGACCAAGAGGCAGTCGTTGAGAGAAGCTACTGGTTTCCTGAGAAGAACTGTAAAATTTCATCCGATTTACTTGGTATGGATCGATAGAGAGATAGAGATTCTTCACAATCACATCTCCTGAACCTTCTTTGGGTTCTAGAGAGAGAGTGGTAGTCTTGATTTCCAGGTCTGACTCACTTGGTGCCTCATTGATGTGATTCTTCAAGCTTACATACCTGTTGTGAACTTCCATGTTCCTGCTCTTGAGCTTTGAATCAAGATTGTTTAGAGAGAGAAAGGAAAGGAGAAAGCTTAGAGAGAGAAGCTAAGCTTTAAGCTTTGAATTAGAGTTGTTAGAGAGAGAAGCTAAGCTTTAAGCTTTGAATTAGAGTTGTTAGAGAGAGAGAAAATAAATAGGAAAGCATGATGGAGAGGGGTCACTCGTTCTTCAATGAGGACAAAAGAGCATTTGCTTGGGGTGCAATTTGTCGTGGATTCTATATCCACAGATGCTTCTGTTGAGTTTTTTGTGGTTTGTTGGTTTGGTAGGAGGTTTGTGTGAATGTCATTCATTCTAGAGAGAGAGAGAATGGGGTTGGGGTTGGGGTGAGGTAGTATCACCCGAACTTATACCGCCCGAACCGCTCTTAAAATTCGTTGTAAACTCAGGAACCGGCTCAAGCCGGTAAACTTTTCCTTTTTTTCGGGTCACCTTTTCCTTTTTGTCATTGTCTCCACCGACCCGCAACAAGCCCAACCCTCTGTCTTTACCCACAGTAACCCTAACTCTCTGTCAATAGCTTCTTCCTCTTTGTCAAATGAAAGCTTTAGAAACCTACCCTTTGTCAAATGCAAGAAAGCCGCAAGAACCTTACCCTCCTTCAAATGGAAGGAAGCCGTAGGAACCTAACCCCTCTGTCAATTGTTTCAATATAAGTCCCTCTCTCAATCGCTTCAATAATGGAAGGTTAAGTTTGCAATGGAGGGCATTGCTAATTATCACTAGTTTTAGGAAAGATGGGGTGGACTACTGCTACTTCAATCATGGAAGGTTACGTTTGTAAATGGATGTCATCTCGGGGAGAGATGGGTGGACTACTGCCACTTCAATAATGGAGAGTTAGGTTTGCAAATAGTAGGCATCGCTAGTTTTGAGAGAGATGGGGTGGACTACCACTCGATGTTACAGGTAGTGCGAGTGAAGCTTTAGAGATATTACTTCAATTTGGGCTGTGGTTGCTCTATGTTTTGCGAATATTTGATCTGTCAATATTTGCTTGAATTTGGACTATGGTTTGGGCTGTGGTTTGTTCATCAAAATACAAAATTTCAATTTGCATTGTGGTTCCTTCATGTTCTGTCAATATTTGCTTCAATTTGTGCTGCGGTTTGTTCATCAAAAACATAATAATACAATTGATTTGGTTAATTAAGAAAGTTTTTGTTTTTGGGTAATTGGTGCTTGTGGTTTGTTCATCAAAAACACAATAATATCAATTGATTTGGTTAATTATTCAAGTTTTTTTGGGGTAATTGGTGCTTATGGTTTGGGTTGTGGTTTGTTCATCAAAAACAAAATAATATCAATCGACTTGGTTAATTAAAAAAAAAAAATTTGGAAAAAGTTTTTATAAGGATCCAACCTTATAATGTAGAACTACGGATGCACCTCAAAAATCCATCAAAAAATGTAGTTTTAATGTTGAAAAACCCTTTGATTGATCATCTCGATATTGAGATGTATGACCATGAAAAATAAAAAGATTTTAAGTCTCAAAAATAGTGCATTTTAAAACATATTATCTACACCATCCATTTTCAAGATTTTCATATGTCTATAAATCTACTTGATTTTAACCATTTTTTAAATTTAAAATTTTATAATTAGATGTAAAATAGATTTTGAGATAATCCTAATAACATTTACATCAAAATTATATACCATGATAAAATTTGAAGGTGTACCTTATCTCTATAGCTACGGATGCATCTATATGCCAGCTGCACCCTTTTTTTTTGGGTAATCTGAATATTTTGATTTTAGTTAATGTTTGTGCTCATAATGTTTTATGCTTTTTGCTTTTTTTGAAGGATCAAAAATCAAATGAACAAAAGTTCTATTGGTCTAACTTTCATTTTTTTTTACTTCTTTTTTTTATATAGTGGTTGTGTGGTTACTGCTCTTCCTCTTACTCTCATTTCTGTTAGAGAGAAAAAGCGATAGAGAGAGTTAGGGTTTACAAGGTTAGAAAGAGATAATGAGATTAGAAATATAGTATGGCACGAGATAGAGAGAGAGAGCATGGAGCGCGTGATAGGTGGGATGGGTAAGGGAGACGCAACTTGAGAGAGCCAATTGTTAAGTTTGTTTCCAAATTAGCAATATGTTGATTGGTGTAATCCCAGCCATTCTTTTAGATCCGACATATCAGATTATTTTATTTTTAGTTTTTATTTTATAAATTATATGAATATAAAATTTGGTACCTTTGATCATTTTAAGGGGACGCACCTAAAAACTATATAAATAAAATGTTTTCAATAAAATAAAATAACCAAAATACTCCTAAAACCTTAAGGGGTATTTTGGTTATTTTATTTTGCCAATAATATTTTTTCATATTCTTTCAAGTGTGAGTTTAAGAGATGAGTGGACGTCCAAAATTTGGTGTCAAAATGTTTTGTAGAAAAAACAATAAAAATAAAACAGTGTAGTGTAATTGAATATTAAGTATAGAAAGCTTCCCCTACTTTAATACAATTTTAAGTTAGGAAAAATGTTATATAAGGTGGCAACCTTAAATTATAGAAACAAGGTGCACCTCAAAAATCTGATAAAAACAAGTGTTATCAAGTTGGAAAATCTTCCAATTGAATATCTCAACCTTGAGATTATGGAGATACGAAAAAAAAAAATAAAAAAATTCAAGTCTTAAAAATGGGAAATGCCCTTGTGAGACTCTTCCACACACATGTATGTAGGACCCCAAAGGATCGCCATTAAATTTGGCATAGATCTCTAGAAAAGTCAAGTCTCACACCTATGTAATAACTTTTATAGAGATCTGTATCAAATTTAATGGTGATCCTTTAGGGTCTCATAAGATCATTACTCCTTAAAAATAGCAGATCTTATAACAAGTTATCTAGACCATCAATTTTCAAACTTTTCACGTGCTTATAGATATATGTTCAATATGCACCATTTTTAGAATCTTAAGTTCATAATTAGGGTTGAACATTAATTTTTAAGCATATAAAGGTTTTGAGAACCAAAATTACATCTTCTAACAAAATTTGGAGGAGCACATTATTGTATAGTATAAGGTGGGCACCTTGTACAAACTGCACCCGTTTAATTAAGTGAAAGATACTATTATCCCGCAAGAGTATACCATCTATTTACTCTTTTGGATAAAAACCCCATTAAAGATTAATTTTACGATTCCAAATTTTGGGAATGTAACCAAAGATTAACCTCAAAATCATAGAGGATATATCTATACCCTCAATCTCTATACAGATCATCAATTTGTTAAAACTTCATCATCTAGACTTAAAGAAAAATTGGGATAAACATATCAAACTCTATCTCTATCTAAAAAAACTTCTAAACTGACATAGTAAAGCTTTATTTTAGTCGTAATGGCTAATATATTTAAAGGCACTAAATACTCAACACCTAAATCATAATTAAAATGAGGATGAACTATGATATCAAATTGTTCGATAAAGGCATAATGATGTTTCTCATACTTCTGTTTTTCATTCGTTTATTTTCAAAAATGGTAAAACAAGGTTTGACTGATAGCTTTACCTTTGACATATAAGTCAACTTTCTTGATTGATTTCAAAAATCTAGATGCATAAATAGAAAGATCATACAAAATCTTGTTTTTCAATATTTGACTTTTGATATAGATCATACAAAATAGACTTCTATTTTTCAATTATTGATATTTCAAAAATGGTAAAACGATTCGGCAATTACGTTTAACTTTGACATGTAAGTTATCTTTGGTTTGCCCGATTGATCACAAAGGTTTAGAGTAAAAAATACAAAGATCATACAAATCTTATTTTTTTGACTTCTGGAAAACTTATATTTCCTAAACCATCTAAGAGTTCTTGTTCTAACACAAAAGAATGCAATGAAACTTACCCATGTCGGGAGTTTGGATTTTGTGAGAGATTTGAGATTTCGGAGGAGGCAAAGGAATGCCTAGGTCTCATCATCTTTATTTGACAAGATCATTTAGTATAAGAAGTTGACTTTTCTTTCAAGCTTTTATCTTCTTCATCTTCATAATTATATTCATCAGACCTTGGTGGCAGAGACTAATCAAATTGAAAAGTTGGTCGTTACGGCCTGAACTCAATAGAATCTTCTTAAATACTTTTAATAGAGGAATCTATGTACTTTGCACGTGATTTGAATTTTTTTAAAATAAATTAGAAGGTTTTTAATAAGGGTGTGGTAAGGTTGCAACCTTATGTTGGATATACATTGAATCTAAGTTTCCTATTATAATAAACTTGAGATATTTGGTGAATAACCAATTTCTGTAAGTTTATGGAGATCCTATTTTATATGGTAGGAGTCCATATGGTTATGGAAATCACATGATTACTCCTTCTCAAGTAAACTTCCTATTTTATCAAAAAGAAGATCCTAATATTATGCAAGGTAAATCTCATGAGAGATTGTGTTATCCTATTCTTAATAGGAATGGGAGAGATGGGTATCATGTGAGTCTCCATGGGGTTGTTTTTTATATAAGTTAAGTCTTGTCGAGAGAGATAATTATGTAGGAAATCCAGAGAGAGAAAAAAAGATTAGTTTTTTTTTATCATTGGGTAGGTATTCTAGTAAGAGAAAGATCATGTTTTAGGGTTTGAAAGATAGAGCTTGTAATCCATTGTATTCCCGATACTTTCATAGTGTTTTTCCGATTAGTGGAAGTGAATTTTGATGCCTCATAGATGTAGGCAACTTGTCGAACCACATAAACCATTCCCTTATTTTTGTCAAAAGATATGAAATTTCAAAGCTTGATGGTTCATATTTCTCAACCTGAAAATTAAAGATGCATGCGGTGTTGGTGAAAGATGGTTGTGTAGTGGCTTTAAAAAGCAGAGAAATAAAATGGAAAAGATGGGAGATGAGGAATTTGATGAAAATGATGAATTGACCTGGGTGGATATTTTTTTGGTGCTTGATGAGTATGTTTTATTCAATATCTCCTCATAAACTTTGGCGAAAAATTTATGGGACAAGCTAAAAAATACTTATGAATTAAAGTCTCTTCTTAATAAAAATTTTCTTTGTTGGAAACCTTACAATGTCAAAATGAGTGATGGTGCATCTTTGCAAGGGCACTTAAATGAGTTCCGTGCCTTTATTAGCAAGCTGATGTCAATGAATGTAAAAATTGATGAAGAAGATAAAACATATATTTTACTTTGTTCTATACCGGAATCGTAGGATGGATTAATCATGAATCGCACTAATGTGAAACCCCTTGAATTTGATTTTGTTGTTTCAGCACTTCTGACAGAGGAA